AAAATACTGACATAAAAAACTTTCATTATTTCACATTTTATTGTAATAATAAACTCACTATAGTAAGAAAGTAAAAGTTGTTGAATTAAGCTTGACGGAAGCTTGATGTACAAGCTATCATAATCTTGTCGAGTTAAAGACACCTAAAGAGATTAGGATTAGAGAGAATATTTAGGAGTTATCTGAATATATTCTCTAATAGGATTAGGATTGTTAATGTGTTATATAAGGAATGTCGAGATGTGGCATAACCTTGAGAGAGATTGAGAGTTTAAGTTTTGAGTTAATTTTCTTAAACTAATAAGAGAGCTATTCTTATCAATCTTTGAGTTCTTAAGTTCTTGATACAATTCAATCAATAATTGGTATCAGAGCTTCAGAAATATGTGAAACTCGTGAGTGAGTTATGGGAGACCTTGTCCCAGCCGTAGCAAGACCAAAAGAAGGAGGAGGACCCTCATCGATCACATGCCCCATGCTTAATGCAACTAACTATACGGTATGGGCTATGAGGATGAAGGTGAAGCTCAAAGTTCATAAAGTCTGGGAAGTAATAGAAACAGAGGCGAATCCAGCTGACAGAGAGAAAAACAATATGGCGATAGCCCTATTGTTTCAATCGATACCCGAGGCACTAATTCTACAAGTCGGAGAGCTTGATACCGCAAAGAAAGTCTGGGAATCCATCAAAGCAAGGTATGTCGGAGCTGAAAGAGTTAAGGAAGCTAGACTACAAACTCTAATGGCAGAGTTTGATCGATTGAAGATGAAGGATTCTGACAAGATAGATGACTTTGTGGGTAAACTATCCGAAGTATCATCCAAATCAGCCGCGCTAGGAGTAATTATTGAAGAACCAAAACTGGTTAAAAAATTCCTTAAGAGCCTACCATGAAAGAAATATATACACATAGTGGCGTCTCTGGAACAGGTATTGGATCTCAATAGTACAAGTTTCGAGGATATTATTGGACGCTTAAAGGCCTATGAATAACGAATCTCCGAAGAGGAGGATGACCAAGAAGATCCAAGCAAGCTTATGTACTTAAACGAAGAAACCCAAAACAATCAATCAAACCAGACGAGTCGTGACTTCAATGGAGATTACAAAGGCGGCAGTGAAAATAAAGGCAGAGGTCGCGGAGGACGATACATGGGAAGAGGATGTGGACGGTCTAATGGAAGAGACCATTTGAAAGTAATGTGTTTTCGATGTGACAAGATGGGTCACTATGCCTCTGTATGCCCCGATCGATTGCTCAAATTACAAGAAACACAAGAAGATGATCAGAATGATACACAGGAAGCTGACGAGCTCATGATGCATGAAGTGGTATACTTAAACGAGAAAATGGTCATACCTAGCAAGTATGAAAGAACTGCGAATGAGGAGAACGTGTGGTATCTCGACAACAGAGCTAACAATCACATGACAGGGGATAGAAGATACTTTCAAAAGATAGATGAGTCGATTACCGGCAAAGTTAGATTTGGAGATGATTCACATATCGATATAAAAGGGAAAGGATCAATCTCATTCGTGGATATGAATGGCAAACCACGAATAATGTATGATGTCTACTTTATACCCGATTTGAAAAGTAATATCGTTAGTTTGGGACAAGCTACATAAGCGGGATGTGACATTAGAATGAGAGGTGGACACCTAACAATGCATGACTCTGACGAGAAGCTGCTTGTCAAGGCAGAGAGATCCAGAAATTGACTCTATAAAGTAAACATGAGACTAAGGGATACTATACGACTACATCTGAACACCGCAAGCGAGTCAAGCAGATGGCATGCTAGGATGGGACACATCAATCTCGAAACAATGAAGTCCATGATCCAAAGGGAACTATTCTTAGGAGTTCCACGTATAACATTCGAGAAAGAAATCTGTGGCTCATGTTTACTTGGGAAACAAGCAAGACAAGTGTTTCCTCAAGCTTCGTCATATCGAGCGAGTGCGATACTCGAGCTTATTCACGGTGATCTGTGTGGTCCTATAACTCTGAGTACAATGACAGGAAACAAGTACATCTTTGTGCTTATTGACGATCATTCACGGTATATGTGGACGTCGTTGTTAAAAGAAAAGGGTGATGCTTTTGACAAATTCAAGAACTTCAAGCGATTGGTGGAACAGGAATCAGGTGCAAGCATCAAAACATTCAGAACCGATAGAGGCAGAGAATTTATCTCGCAAGAATTCAAGTTATTCTGTGAAGAAAGCGGTATTAAACGACATCTCACAGCTCCGTACACTCCGCAGCAGAACAGAGTAGTTGAAAGACGTAACAGGACCCTCTTGGAGATGACGAGAACTATAATGAAGCATATGCATGTCCCAAATTATCTCTGGGGTGAAGCAATAAGACATTCAACTTATCTCTTGAATAGAGTAGCAACAAGAGCCCTCAAGGAGAAGACTCCGTACGAAGCGTTCAGAGATAAGAAACCCAAAATCGATCACCTCCGGATTTTTGGTTGTATTGGATTTGCGAAGACAGATAAACCATATTTACGGAAGTTAAATGATAGATCAAGGATGCTGGTTCATCTTGGAACAGAACCGGGGTCAAAAGCTTATCGATTACTTGATCCCACAACACGTAAAATAGTAGTAAGCAGAGACGTGGTGTTTGATGAAACTAAAGGATGGAACTGGAGTTATGATAACACGAGGCAAGTAGGAAATTTCAGCGTTGCACTTGGTGAGTTTGGAAATCGCGGTATTCATGAGCGAGATGGGATCCTCGAAACAGAGCGAAGCATCACAGACGTGGATATAAACAACAATGGAAACCTTGAGACATCGCAGAATGGTGATGTTTCACAGGAGTTTGAGCATCACGAACACACCCATGTTCGTGGAAGTCCAGAAAAACAGAGTGCAGAAAAACAGAGTATTACCCCTGTTCGTAGAAACCCAGAAAAACAGAGCATGGCTCCTGCACCTATTCTGAGACGAACAGAGAGATAGAGAAACTTACCGGGATATCTGCAGGACTACGTTCTTCTAGCAGATGAGGAAGGAGAAATGTTATTATTATGTTTAAATAACGAGCCAAGAAACTTTCAAGAAGCAAAAACATCAAGAGAGTGGACGCTAGCTTGTGAAGACGAAATACACTCCATCGAAAAAAATCGTACGTGGAATCTTGTCGATCTACCAGAAGGAGCCAAATCAATCGGATTAAAATGGGTGTTCAAGTTTAAACGAAACTCGGATGGTAGTATAAACAAACACAAAGCACGATTGGTAGCGAAAGGGTATGTTCAACAATACGGAGTTGACTTTGAAGAGGTTTTCGCACCAGTAGCAAGGATAGAAACGATACGCCTCCTGATTAATCTTGCAGCATCCAACGGTTGGGAAATACATCATCTTGATGTAAAGACAGCGTTTCTACACGGCAAACTGAAGGAAGTTGTTTATGTCTCTCAACCAGAAGGCTTTGAGAAGAAGGGACAAGAAAACAGAGTTTATAAGCTCAACAAAGCGTTGTATGGGTTACGACAGGCGCCGAGAGCATGGAATAATAAACTAAATCAAATTCTGATGGGTCTTCAGTTTAAAAAGTGTTCTAAAGAGCCATCAGTATATCGAAAGGAGCTTAAGGAGAATCTCCTTGTCGTGGCGGTTTATTGTAGATGATCTATTTGTCACAGGGACTAGCATACACGTCATTGAAGAATTCAAACAGGAGATGGCTGCAAAATTTGAGATGAGCAATCTCGGGAAATTAACTTATTATCTTGGGATTGAGGTCTGTCAACACAAAGGAGGAATAGTGTTGAGTCAGAAGAGGTACGCTCAGAAGATTTTAGAAGAAGCAGGAATGAAGGACTGCAACTCAGTGTATGTTCCGATGGAATCCGGACTAAAACTAGCTAAGTCTGAAGATGAATGGGAGATTGATGCGACCTGGTTCAGGAAAAATGTTGGCTGTCTACGATATCTACTCCATACGAGACCAGATTTGTCCTATTGTGTTGGAGTTTTGAGTCGATATATGCAAAGTCCTAGAGAATCTCACGGAGCTGCCATAAAACAATGCTTGAGGTATTTACAGGGAACTACTACACTGGGGTTAACGTTTGAGAGATCAAACATGAAGGTACCAAAGCTGATAGGTTATAGTGATAGCAGTCACAATGTGGATCCAGATGATGGGAAGAGCATAACGGGACACATATTTTACCTCGGTGGAAGTCGAATCACTTGGTGCTCACAGAAACAAGATATTGTGGCTCTGTCCTCTTGTGAAGCTGAGTTTATGGCAGGTACATAAGCAGCAAGACAAGCAATATGGCTTCAAGACTTGCTTAGTGAAGTCACCGGCGTGTTAGGAGAAAGATTGTTATTAGGATTGATAACAAGTCAGCGATCGCCCTCACAAAGAACCCCCGTATTCCATGGTCGGAGCAAGCATATCCACACTCGATATCATTTTATAAGGGAGTGTGTGGAGGACGGACTGGTTGAAGTTGAGCACGTTCCTGGAAACATGCAGAAGGCAGACATCTTGACAAAGGCGCTTGGAAGAATCAAGTTTACGGAAATGAGAAACCTCATTGGCATGAAAAACTTGAAACAAATTGATGTCAAGCTTAAGGGGGAAATTGTTGAATTAAGCTTGACGGAAACTTGATGTACAAGCTATCCTAATCCTGTCGAGTTAAGGACACCTAAAGAGATTAGGATTAGAGAGAATATTTAGGAGTTATCTGAATATATTCTCTAATAGAATTAGGATTGTTAATGTGTTATATAAGAAATGTCGAGGTGTGGCATAACCTTGAGAGAAATTGAGAGTTTAAGTTTTGAGTTAATTTTCTTAAACTAATAAGAGAACTATTCTTATCAATCTTTGAATTCTTAAGTTCTTGATACAATTCAATCAATAAAAGAGACCAAAATAATTTTTTTTTGCAAAAAATAATTGTTTTATTCTATATATTAGTTTCCTTCACATTTACAAACATCAAAACAGTAGTACTTGTAAAAAAAAAATACAACAAATTTTAATTGGCATCATTCATGCGTGCCCTGTCGGTCCTTTATGATTTATGAATTTTTAATTGTCGTCCTTACTTTTACGCGCATTTGATGAGTTAGGCCAATCAAATCGGGACACTTCTTCGAAAAAAACTGATGTCGTTTTTCTGTGTTTCGAAATTAAACTCCACCATTTTTAATTTTAATTTTAAAATTGAAATCAGCTTTTGAGCTTTTGAGCCTTTTCGGTTTCTCTGCCGCACCTAAATAAACGCCAGACAATTCCTTTGGGTCACCACCAAACCAAAACCTACGCTGCTTTGAATTTTCTCAGGGAAAGGTCGAACGAAAACGAAGCCTGTAGAGAAATAAAAAGGGTTTCGAGAAGTTTTAAATCACTCCTTTTGATTTCAAAACGCAATTTGTCTTTCTCTCTCACGTTTATTTTGGCGTTCTCTGGGTTTGTTTGTCTCTGAACGAGAAGGCGATCACTGGGTTTTTACACCTCCTTCGTTGGATTTTTTGAGAAGCGATCTCCTTTTGATTTTGATTAATCCAGGTCCGTTTTATAGTCTCACAAACACACTTAGGTGGGGGTATTGGATCTAGAAATTCAATTGAATTTGAAAGAATTGAAATTTCCATTAAAAACATGTGTTATTTAATTATATATTTTAACAATTCTTTTAAATATCTGTGTTATTAGATTAGGTGTTTATATTCATTCTTTCAAATTCCTTTAAATATCAGTGTTATTCAATATATTAACTTTCCAATTCTATTAAATATCTGTGTTATTCAATATTTGATAAATTTAGCATTAAAATGATTTGAAAGGAATTTAATAAAAAATTTACTATAAAAATGTAAAGAACCAAATATGAGCTTTTAGGCTGAGAATTGAAGAGAATTTACTTCATTACTTGAATCGTTATTTCCCAAAAAAAATCAAATTTTCAGAAACACAACGCCCATAATACCCATAATTTGATGAGTTTTTTTACTGAAGATGCAATTTGCAAGTCAATAATTGTTGACTGAAGCCTTGACTGAAGATGCATTTGGACTCCGTAATTGTTGACATACTTTGCAAATTAGCAATGAAAAAGCATATAAATTGTTGAATCGACTTCTGTGCATTAAGCGCATTCATAGAACATAAAAAATACATATAAAATAGATACTACTAATGAATTGTGACTATTTGATGATTTCACAATCATATATAATTGCAATAAATGAAATTGCAATATCTACGTCAAATATCAATCATATATTTACAACCAGATTCATTTATCTACAATATTTTTAAAGTAGTCAAATTCTAGTCATTTATCTTAAACTGTAGTCAAAAATGTTTCAGAAAATCCCTACAAAATAGTATGAAGTTCAAAATGTTATTCATGATATATTCTATTCAATATTATAAAATCTCCATCATATATTTTACGACTGGATCATCTCTTCTATATATATACATTACTGCACCATATTTCTCAAAGCAAAAAAAAAAAGTTACCATCAAAAAAGGTATCAATTTTGACAAGTAGCTTTTTGTTTTTCTTATCATTGGTTTTCTGTAGTTTTTTTGAAAACATTTCATATCTATTATTTTATAAATTATTTTTTGTAATTCATATGCTCATTTGTATTTCATATATTTTATAAATCATTTACATATATCATACATATTATATTATTCTATGTTTTTATAGAATGATTATTTACATTATATATGTGAAAAAATTGTTAACATGTTCTTATTTTTTTTATTAGGATGGAAAGTGGGGAAACGTCACAACTAAAAAAATCAAAAGGTGGATATTGTCCATGGACACTCCAAGAGAGTCAATTGTTGAAACGTTTAATCGTTGATGGTATCAAACGAGGATGGCGTGATTCAAATGGTTCTATAAGCAAATCAACGGTGGAGACAAAGATATTGCCGATTCTAAATGAACAACTTGGATGCAATAAAGCATACAACCAGTACGTAAATCGAATGAAATCTTTGAAAAAAGAATATTAAAGTTATGCAGAACTTTTCCGATGTAGCTCTGGTTTTGGATGGGATCCCACCACAAAATAATTTACAGCTTCAGATGAAGTATGAGAAGAATATTTTAAGGTAATTTTTTTAACTCTTCTAAATAGTTTTATTAATTTTTTATGATTTTTTAATTGTGTTTTTTTACTAATGAATATATCATATTTTTAATTAGGGACATCCAAATCATCAATACATGCGAAATAACACTTTTGAAGATTTTGAAGATTTACAAATCATTTTGGAAAGTGCTATAGCAAGGGGAAACAACGCATTTGGTCTTGGATTTGGATTAGGCATTGATGCAAGTGCTGAAACTTTTGAAGTTGAAACTAATGCTCAAGAAAGAGAAGATGTGGAGGTTGTCACTGTGACTGAAACAGCCTATGAAGCTTCTAAAGAAAAGTTACCTTCCAGGAAGAGAGCTAAACCCAATGGTAAGGAAAATCCATTAGATTCTATTAATTCCGGTGATCGTTCTGAAAAGGTGCTATGTGCAATGATTGGTGTCAGCACTAATATCATGAATCTTATTCAACAAAGAGAAGAAAGGCATCAAAAAGAAGTTGAGTTAAGAGAAACTGAGAAGAAAAAGAGTAACGTTTGGGATGCTATCAAAGAGATTACTGATTTGGAAGAGCATATCCGCTATGATGCAGTAACTAAGATTCACACGCTGAAGATGAAAGATGTATTTGTTAGCATGTCCGTTGAAGAACGCTTAGGTTGGATTCGCCGTAATGTTTAGGCTTTTAGTTATGCATCTAATAAAATTCAAATATGAATTTGAATAATTGTTCTAGTATTTTTCTTATCTCAAATAATAGCTTCTGTAACTTGAAGACAAATTGATAACTTTTTTGTTTTGAAATAAACTATTCGTTTTTTAAATGCTTATTTATCTTATTACATCTTATAAAATTTTCCAAATGAATCTACTTTATCGGTCAAATATTATGTTATTGGAACAATCTATAACTATTGTTATATTTTCAAATCCTAACAAACAAAATAGAGATAAATTACATTTTTTCAGTACAAGATTATATTAAACGTGTAATTTGACAAGACTATACAAAGCAAGATTACAAAATTTAACAACCCATTTCGAACTTCCAAATCAAATTATAAAGTTGCTTATTTTTCTTAAATATAAAGTTGTTTGATTTTTAGTCAACAATGTCACACTATCCTTTTTTTTCGCACACACTATCTTTTTAAAATAGTATTGTTTGTAATCCCTTAAAAATAATATTTACAATCAAACTTTCAAATTCAAAACAATACACATCCTTTGTTTCTTTTTCTTAAATATAGAATTGTTTCATATATTCGTCAACAATATCATACTATCCCTTAAAAATAGTAATTGTTTGAAGTGAACCAATATCCTATGATCCCTAAAAAATAGTACAGTACAGGGAGCTTAAAACTTGAAAAGTTAACGTTACGTATGATATTATATAACGTGCATATCATTTACTTCTTCAAAGCAAAAGAAAATCAAAAATCTATCTATTGCTGTCAAAAACAAAAGTAAAAAGAAAACCACAACATCCAAGTTTCAGCTTCGTAAGATTATCTTCTAATTCTTTTCATTCTTTTTACATTTGTAATTAAGTATTATATTAGATTCTAATTACTATTTTTTTAATAGGTTATCTTTTGATGGATCAGAGTTTTCATGAAGAAGAAGACATGGATATTGAGCGAACAAAAGATGATGATTTTGATGCGAGCATATTTCTAGTTGTGTTGATGGTGGCTATAGGAGCTCAGATTCACAACTCACAACACTGTCTCATGGGTCATAGTTTTATTGAGCGTCCACTTCGTCGACCTATCACAAAGCTCGGAGAGCAATACATACAAAAGGTATTAAAGGAGGATTGTCAACATTTCCGGGTGCTGTACCGTATGTTTCCAGAAGTGTTTCTGAAGTTATCTAAAATTCTTAGAGATAAAGCTGGTTTACAAGACACCAGATTCATATCTGTCGAAGAGATGCTGGCTATTTTTATGCTTACTGTTGGGCAAAATTCAAGATATTGCTATGTCAAGGACACATTTAAAAGGTCCAAATTTGCAATAAGCACTAGCTTTAATCGTGTTTTAAAAGCTTTACTTATCATAGCTCCAAGCCAAATGGTGAAACCAAATGGTTTAGTGCCCATGAAAATAAGAGAGAGCACACGATTCTATCCATATTTTAAGGTATATTATTTCATATTTTGTTAAATTTAAATTTTGTTATCTTTAAAAATCTGATTATTCATTTCTTTTAAATTTATTTCAGAATTGTGTTGGAGCTCTAGATGGTACACACATACCTGCAAGAGTAATTGGACGTGAGGTGGCAAGCTATCGTAATCAAGCTCTGATACCAAATATAGTCTCACAAACACACTTAGAATGTATAAAGAATCACTCTCTTTATTAATGTTCAGAAACTCTCTCAAAACTAAACATTCACAAACTCTTTGTGTTGTTCGATATGATTTGTTACAACTCAACAAATCATATTTATAGCTCAACATAGCTTTTCTTAATTCTATCTAACTTAGAACTAGATAACTCCTAACTCTAATAGGATTGCTTGAAGCCTTTCTTATCCTAACCCGACTTGGTTAAGGATGTCGTAGGTTTCAGTCTTCGAAGCTTTACCCAACAATCACCCCCTGAAGCTTCGAGTCCTTCTTCGAGAGGTCTTGAACACCGATCAAACTCCTCATCGTTCTGAACTTGATTCTTGCTAAGGCTTTTGTTAGGATGTCTGCACACTGTTCTTCTCCGGGTACAAACTCCACTGCGATTTGTTCATCATCAACACATTCTCGTATGAAATGATATCGCTTGTGGATATGTTTGCTTCTTCCGTGAAAGACAGGGTTTCTGGTTAGTTCTATGGCTGACTTATTGTCAATACGGATGGTTGTCTTCTCACAATCTTGTCCCGTCACTTCACTCACTAAGTCCTGTAACCATATAGCTTGCTTCGCAGCTTCCGTGGCCGCCATGAACTCGGCTTCACAGCTAGATAGAGCGACGGTATGCTGCTTTTGCGAACACCACGTGATTGGTGTTTCTCCAAAGTAGAACACATGACCAGCTGTGCTCTTTCCATCGTCCGGGTCTGTGTTATGGCTGCTGTCGCTGTAGCCAACGATCGTCCGCGAGCATCCTCGTTTAAACACCAGACCGTACGATAAAGTTCCTTGCAAATATCTCAAAATTTGCTTCAATGCAACACCATGAGACTCTCTTGGATCTTGCATATACCTACTCACCACTCCTACAGAGAAAGCGAGGTCAGATCTTGTATGCAACAAGTACCTTAAGCATCCGATTCTTCGACGATACATGGTGGTGTTAACTTCGGATTCTTCCTCTTGTGCTTTAGATAATTTAAACCCAAACTCCATAGGGATGTGTGAGGGATTACAATTATCTAGTCCTGCTTCCATTAGAATCTTCCGTGCATATGCTTCTTGTTTCAGTTCGATGCCATCTTTCCCTTGAAAGACTTCTATACCAAGGTAGTAAGTAAGTTTACCGAGGTCTGACATCTCAAACTTAGTTGCCATGTCGTCCTTGAATTCCTGTATGACTCCCAGCGAGTTTCCGGTGACAAAAAGGTCATCGACATACACTGCTACAAGGAGAAATTTTGTTCTATCTTCCTTGCGGTATACTGCACTCTCTTTCGAACACTTCTTGAAGTTCAAACCTCTCAAGATTTGATCAAGTTTTGTGTTCCACGCTCGTGGTGCCTGTCTCAAACCGTATAAGGCCTTGGAAAGTTTGAAAACCTTGTGTTCCTCTCTCTTCTTTTCAAAGCCTTCTGGTTGAGACACATAGACGTCTTCGTTTAGCTCTTCGTGCAGGAACACCGTCTTGACGTCGAGATGGTGGATTTCCCAGTTGTGTGTTGCAGCAAGTCCCATGAGCAATCTTATTGTCTCAGTGCGAGCTACAGGTGCAAAGACTTCATTGAAGTCAATTCCTGATTGTTGTACATATCCTTTTGCAACTAATCTCGCTTTGTATTTGTTAATGGACCCATCTGCGTTTCGCTTTATCTTAAAAATCCACTTAAGACCAATAACCTTGACTCCTCTTGGCTTTTCCACTAAAAACCATGTTTTGTTCTTGTTTATCGAGCTTATTTCTTCTTCACAAGCGTGTATCCACTCGATTAACTCTTTTGCTTCTTGATAATTCATCGGCTCATCATTAATCGACAACAGGAGTTTCTCACACTCTATCACTGCTTGTAGGGCATAGTCATCCTTTAAATAGTAGTCTTCAAGGTAACTTGGCAGGTTTGTTTCTCGCGTAGACCGCCTTAAAGCCTGTTGAGGTTCGTGAACATGCTTTGGCGACGGAGGTGGTGGAGTTTGGTGGTTTGTCGGGCTTTGGGGTTCTTTCTCGCCCGATCTTGGTTCAATATCGGGAAGATCCTTGACAACGATAGCTGGTCCTTCTCCCTCATCTATTGTTGTTCCCCATTGCATATGAAACATTCCAGGATTCCTACTTGATTCGTTCTCTGTTTCATTCCAACTCCAGCCTTTTGTTTCATCAAAAACAACGTCACGGCTAACTACTATCCTTCGAGTTAGTGGATCGTATAGTCGATACGCCTTGGATCCTGGCTCGATCCCAAGGTGTAATAAAACCTTAGATCTATCATCAAGTTTCTTTAGGTGTGCAGCGTGTACCTTTGAATATGCCAAACAGCCGAATACCTTCAAGTGCTCAATGTTTGGTTTCTTCTCTCGCAGGCATTCATAAGGAGTCATATTCTCTAGTGCTCTTGTTGGTACCCTATTAATCACATGAGTGGCGTGCCTAACAGCCTCTCCCCATAAGTAATTTGGAACTTTCATAGCCTTGAGAATGCTCCTAGCCATCTCCATTAGAGTTCTGTTTCTTCTCTCCACAACACCATTCTGCTGAGGTGTGTAAGGAGCTGTGAGGTGTCTCTTGATACCGTTGGTATTACAGAACTCGTTGAATTCTTTTGAGGTGAATTCTCCTCCTCTGTCAGTTCTAAGTGTCATGATCGTCTTCCCAATTTCTTTCTCTACTATGTTTTTAAACACCTTGAATCTTCCATAGGCTTCACTTTTCTCCTTTAACAAGATGGTCCACATATATCTTGAAAAGTCATCCACTATAACAAAAACATATTTGTTATTTGCCATGGTGTGTGGTGTTATAGGTCCACACAGGTCTGCATGAAGTAGTTCCAGTGTCTTGGAGGCTCGGAATACTGATGTCTTTGGAAAAGATTGGCGAGTCTGTTTTTCAACTAAACAAAACTCACACAATTTTTTCTCATCTTTGATTTTCGGTAAACCCTGCACCATCTTTTCTTGGAACATTGTGTTCATTGTTTTGAAGCTGATGTGGCCTAAACGAGCATGCCATCTCCATGCATCATCTTCTATTCTTGTATGCAGACACGCAGGTTTTCCTATTTTTAGTTTGATTTTGTAGAGTCTGTTGGATGATCTAGTGACGTTTACTAAAAGTCTTCCCCTCGGATCGTGAAGTGTTAGATAGTCTTGTCTCATCCTTACATCACATCCTATTTCTATAGCTTGTCCTAAGCTCAGAATATTGCTCTTAAGAGAAGGTATGTAGTATATGTCTGAGACCAATATTTGTTCACTCGTCTTGCTTTGGAACAGTATTGCGCCTTTTCTTGCAATTTTAACGCATGATCCATCTCCAAATTTGACTTTTCCTTTTATCTTCTCGTTAATCTCCGAAAAATATTCTTTGTGCCCTGTCATGTGGTTGCTAGCTTTGTTGTCTAAGTACCACAGGTCTTCCTCTTTGCAGTTAGACTCGTAATTTTTCGGTATGACTCTTTCTTCGTTCAA